CAATATTAAATATAATTTATTTGTCAGAGTCCAAACTAAAGGCTGACAAAATGAGTAAGCCTCATGCTTGTGAAGAATGACTAATGCAGAACAAGTTTATTGCACAGTCTAAGTTACACACAGGAACATGCCAGACTTAAGCAAAAAGACTGCTGAAAAATCTCCAGGAACTCACATGCCGCCCTCCAGCTGCGGGCCCACCTTCTCATACATCTTTATCAGCCGACTGCAGTTATAAATGAACATGCCATCCAGTTCGCGCTGCTCAATATTCACACCAAAGATAAAATTCAGTTCTTTGGGCTCCTTCAGAGCACTGTAAGAGAATGAAACAAAGCCTCAGAGATGTTGAAAATAAAATTATTTGCCATTAGATAGAAGGTATGGACGTCTGGCACTTTGGAGCATTACGGGTTTACTGACACCTGTCCAGTAGTCTGCCGTTTCTAAAAAGCACAAAGCATTTGTTGGATGTGCATTACAGCTAAATAGGAAATACAAAATGTAAAAACTTTGCAGTGCAGACAGCAATTTAGGCTGGACAGAATCTGTTCAAATAACTTAATTATTCATTTGGGTATGTTTTCTCCTTCAGGAATGGATTCTGGTTTTTATTTCAAATCTGCTTGTTCAAAAAAACTACAGTTAACTAGTTTTATGCCAGTACCATTAGGTACAGACTGGTCCTCTCCAATGCTACTTTGGTTTGTATTTTCCAGGTGTAGCTCTCCATGCTAGATAAAGCATGGAAATTAAGATTTTGACACAAAACTACAGTCTTGATATTCAGATTCTGGGAAAGTTCTCATAATTACAAGTTTTACAATGCTATTCCTCTAAGTCTGAAAGCTGGAAGACACAACACACAGCCCAAGCAGAGCTTTCTTTCTGGAAAGGACGGGATAGCAATTTGCATGGTTTCGACTTTATCTACGCAGCAGATGACTTCAACAAAACTTGGCCTCAAGTATGTTTGTGAGCACACATGGATTTCTGAAGCTGAATCTTTGATTATCAGGAATTGTATCGCCCGCAAGGCAGAAAGCTGCAGGAGATTCAGATCTCTCTGCGTTATAATTCAAACAAAATCCCCGTGACTCACAAACAGAACTATTGCTCTTTAACAGACTAAATTAAGTAGGTCCCACAGCTTCCATGAAACCCACACTGAGGGTTTTTCATAATGAGGATCCTCAGTTTCAGGCTGAAGGTATCATCAAACGTGAGGTCCAAACATTTAACCTTTGCAAGGCATAGTCTATCTCATTGTCCTACCCAGCCCCGTCACTGCTGATCTCCCTTCTTTTTCCCCCCACACTGACTTCTTAGCACTTATGTGCTTTATCCCAATGAGGAATTTGACTTCGCCTTAGGTGATTAGTTGAAGATAGTGGAATTCATTAACATGATCTGTGGACTGTCTACTAATATCAGACATTAAAAGAACGTGAGCTGTGTATGCATGAGCACTGCACAACAATAATCCGCAGATACCAGATGTAAGTCTATCTTAATGGACAAGTATCTCAAAATAACTCCCTGAAATTATTAATTTCATGTTCATTTTCTGTTTAAAGCCATCTTCTTCCCCACACAGATAGATATGTACCCTGTAACACGCCTTCCTTTAGAACAGATGACTCCAAAATAAGTTACTAGGAAAACACCTGGAAGAGCAGCTTTTGGTAATTTTACACCTAAACCTTTGCCAGGAGATGTTTTGAGCGCTGCCAACATAGAATCTGGGCTAGAATGTCACCTGCTTGGTCTCAGCTTATCCACGTGGACAACTGTGATTTGAGAGCACGAGTAGGTGTGGCAAAACACCCACCTTGGGGACTAATTCTCTTTTTCTAACTTCTGGAAAAGGATGTAGAGCCTTAAATTTTAAGTAACAATGTGCACTCACCTAAAAAGATAGGAAGCACATCTTCTCATTTTTATCAGCAAGGACAGGAAGTCAAATTATCATCCAAACCATGGAAAATTAAGTGGTGGGCCAAAAGTCCAGGATTTTATAATGATGCACCCAGCACCGGAGAAACAGCAGAAAACTGACCTGGGACTTTCTCTGTAACTCGAGTTTTCTGAGAGCCTACATAAACTGTTTTGTACAGAAGGTTTTCTATTATACATATTTTTCAGGGATTTCTTCTGTTTTCTGGATAAAGTACCAGATTATGGAAAAGCCTGACCCTCTGAACCTCCTTCGATCACCAGTGACAAATGCAGGGATGCAGGGAAAGCCACAATCCTGCCTGGAGCTGGTGGAGCATTTGGCAGCTCTCACCCAGAAGCACACATGGCCAGGTCTGTACAGAAATCCAGACAAAAGGCCTGCTCCCCTGCTGTTGGTTAGCTGCCACAAACATCTATTTTCCTCATCATCACCTATTTGAAACCTGACTAGAGATAGCCTTTTGGCCTACCTACAGCTGCTGTATGCCTCCAAACCAGCTGGTTACATTTTGTGGCCTACAAACTTTCTTAGATTCAAACAGAAAGAACTGCTGAAGAAGACCTGGAATCTCTCATTTCCAACTAGTCAATAAAGGGCATAGAGAAACTGCTTTCAAATAAACTTGTATCGTCCAACTTCTTTGTTTGTTGTTCAGCTTTTTAATAGGAAAAAGTATTTTGCCCATTGGCAGGAAGGCCAGAAGACCATCCACAAAATTTTACTTTGTGCACTAATGCCATCAAATCCAAGAACAAGCTGTGCACAGAAAAGTACAGGGAAGCTGAAGAAAACAGCTTCTCCCAAGAGTTTCTCCATTCTTCAGGTCATAGCTCTAGCACTTTTAAAGCTGTACTTATTTTTTTTTTTTAACATCTTAAGACGCATTAGACCTATCTCTGGCAACAAGTCTGGGACAGTTCTGACCTAAGCAGCCATGTAAACTAGCATGCAAAACAACTAGGTGGGAACAGAGACCAGGGATATACAAATCTCTAACTTTCTCAGACTCAGCATTTGTTTTAAGAGCATTTGTTTCTGGTTACGACTTCATTTGTGGAATGCATATGACAAATTTGTAAAAACACTGTACACAAAGAGTGAAATATTCCTGTCAGTACATCGATAGCAAAGTTAATCGCAACCAGAGCTAAGTCAGAACAATGTCTTGGGATTTCACAGCACTGACTATAACAGAACTCAGCAAGTTATTACAAAACATCTCTACAACTCTAAAAGCCATTTCACTGTAACTTGCTAACATTTGTTACATGATTCTTATCTGCAGATGAAAAAGCAGACAGTGAAAAAAGCTGATGAAAAAAACAGGTAAACATCCACAGAAAACAAGCCAAATCCAAAGATGTCTTTCAGCAACTCAGAGGGGAATAGCAGAAGCAACCAGAACAGCAAACTGAGCTGCTGAACAGCCAGGGCATACAGGATGCCCACAGGTACTTAAGCCTTGAGCTGAGCTGCGCCCTCCATCACACAAGCGAAGCAGGAGACATCTGAGCACGTGGAATGCGCAGCCTGGGAAAATCAGAGCTTTGAACCACCTTGCACTCACCGCTGCTTTGCATCCTTGATCCTTTTCTTGACATCAGCCTCCCGGCGCATAGTTATTGCAGAGTTTTGGACTTGTCGTAGTGTCACCTGCAAACAAGCATCGTACAGGAAAACTGCTGCTGTGAAATTCATAACATCATTAACTCACTTCTATGATTTTTTTCACAAAGATCTCAGAAATGTTTTTAATGTAAAGAATTCATGAACAGTGGAGGGTGACAATCAGCACACCTTCACACGCAGGGCAGCACTTGCTGTCGGGGGACAAGGTAAACAGCCTCTCTCCAAGAGCCCCAAATGCTTCGGAGACAGGTGTGCAGGCAGGGAGGGGGAACAGCCAAAAAGCACCTGATTTTCCTTCTGTTCAAATACCTCACGTTCCCCTGGCCTCTTCCGCAGAGGCTGACATCAAACAAAGCGCCTGGGGCTGGGGGTTGCCTCCCCACTCAGGGTATCTGGGTGGCTGTGGGCGGGGGAAGGAACATCAGCACGCTTCCCACTTGGGCTGGAAACCACATGCAGATGTTGAAGGACATCTGACAGCGATGAGACCCCAGAGCTGCCTGAAGGCTGCTGGCAGCTCACCGCCAGCTGAAGTCGTCACCTGCCTAACCAACACGCCAGTGCCACCACTGGGTGCTGACCAGCCAGTGCTGCTCCAAAGCCAGCATTCAGTGCCTAAAACGTGACACACTGCCAAAGCACAAGCTCACCCTGGACTCCCGTGTGAGATCCCCTCCCAGGCGCAGCTCAAGGGCACGGGCTTTACTCTCTGCCTCACGAGCCTTCTCCTCCGCTGGAACACACAGGGAAAAGGATGACGTTAACCACGCAGTGCACAGAGCATATCAGAAGGCATTCACCTGAGGAGATCCATTTCCAGAGAGCTGGACTGACATGTACAAGGGCACAAAGGTAACACAAAAAGGTACAAAATACAACCTTCCATATGAGAGGGCACCACTGCCATGCCATCTTAAACCTGCTCAGAGGTCACAGTCAACAGTGGCATAATGATGGGGCTAAACTCTGCAAAAGCATGTTTAAAGGAGGGATCGATGAGGAAGTCAGCGAGGAACTGGAACGAGTAATGATGCAAGTGGCCCTGCCTGCTCTGCCTGGAAGTGTGAAGGCAGAGAAAGGCTCTCATAAAACAAAGACTGAGTTCAGACTTGAAAAGGAATTATAATAAAGAGGTAACAAGAAATGCAGAGATGAAGGAAAAGGACTATTCTCAGAAATGCTTTTATCTTTGATAATTGCCAAATTTTGCTTGGAAAAAGACAAATCTGTGCCATGCACAAAACAGGACACTGTTCTGAAGACCCACCACTATACCTGACGTTTGCATGCACAAAGTGCAACCCAAACCATTCCTTGATTCTATGACTTGGAAATACAGCCAGTATGTGCTAAGGAATGGTGTGGTTTACACCAAGGTGAGCAGCAGGCCTGTACCCCTGCAGCAGGAGGGCGTCAGCACAGTTGCAGCACACACTACGAGCCATCTCCCTCCCTGCTCTACCAACAGGGAGACAAACTGCAGATGTGAGACGCTCAAAACAAGGAAACACAAAGTGGAGGACCGACCTTCGCAAAGATTTGCGGAGGATGAAGTAAGCAAGAACCTGACAGCATAGCAACTGGCTCCTAGAGATTACCAAGCACCTCTCCAAGAAGCAGCACTCAGCTGGCAGCCAGAAGGAATCCAGATGCTGCCGCCAGTGTTTGATAACCAGCACCACTTGCGGAAATGCATGGGTTTGGTGTGTGCAGGGAGGGGAGAGCAAACAGGCACAGTCAACTTGGAGCACTACAATAAAAATCACCTTTCCTTTTTACGCAGTGTTACATTTGAGTTTTGTTCCACTGCTTCCCCTGTGCTTCTGTAAGCAGGCTCTGGGTTCACAGCAGCGTACCAAGAAAGTCACAGCAGAACTGCACTGTGCAACCGACTTCATCATCAAGAGACAGTTTGGCTAAATGTGAAAACACAGGAGTTTGGAGACCACTTAGAACACTTGGTCCATTTAAATCAGAGCTTGTATGGCAGAAGCTGGGGGGCTAAATGCAGCTCTGTCTAGAACAAAGAACACAGTGATGACCCATAAGAGCACAGGTCACGCCTGCTCCACTAACGCAGTGACAACTGAGAAGGCATGGCTGACAGGGAACAGTTCAGTTATGAGTCTGAGGGCTGAGCCCCTAATGGGCAAAAGCACGTGCCCTAAAGGGGACGACGAGCGTGCAGCAGCTAGAACCCGCACTCATGACCTCCCAGGGGACCACAGGCACAGCATATCCATGGTGCTGCCCAGCAAGTCACAGGGCACACTAAAACACTCCGGAACAACGTCCAGCACAGAACGTGGCTGTTAATGACTTTCAATATCGGACACCCACCTAACTCCTCACCTTTCCTGTTTGTTTGCTTTTCAAACTTTGTAAGAGGATTCCTTGAAACTAGGCAATGGCAATACTGAGGTGCCCTGGTGCAGTACTCTGTCTTGGTTCAGAAACACGCAGAAAGCAGCTGATGGTCTTTCAGAGCTACCTTGCCAAGGAATGACACTTTTCTCCCGACTCCCATCTGTTCACTTAGGGATTGGATGCTCCAGCTTATCACATGAGGCAGGAAGTCAGTTCCCAGGGAATGAAGAGCGGCTTTTCCTCATTTTAAATATGTGTCTTCACTCCTGAGCCTTGGCTCTTTGTGGATATGCCAAAGCCATATTGCCAACAGTCACAGCTGCCCATACGTCTTTTTTTTTCTTTTCTTCCCCCTTCCTCCCCTATAGCTATTTTTTGGTTATCATAAGTTTTGGTTCCACAAGCTCATGAGCTACTTCCAGAGACTCATCAGTCCCTCAGTAGTTCCACAGTACGATGGATTCCATCCTATGGAACACATCCCTGGCAGGTAGCCATGGCATGCTGGGACTGTGGTTGGCTCAGCTGAGACCCACCATTTCTCACAATGCAACCCTAGTTTTGAAAGAGAAAACTACAAATCATTCCCTGGTGAAGATCCCTCCTAAGAGTGATGCACATCTGCAAGAGAAAACATATGCTGGAGATGATGAGAAATTAACGTTTTCCATCAAAAGCAGAACAAGAGAACTTGGTTGTTACAGATTAAATTCATTTTCCTAGAAGCAAAGAAATGAGATTAAATTAATTTTCCTAGACGCAAAGAAATGAGATCTGTGCCATTGAAGCTGAGGTTAATGTTAGAAGAATGTTTTAGTCCTGGAGGCTTCATGTAACCAAATCTTGCAGAAAACAGCCCGAGGTCTGATGTGAGTTTTCACACGTTCACCACATTCAAAACCCTTTGCTCAGCACCCACCTCACTGTCAGAGGCAGTGGGCTAGCTTTGGGGGTGAAAATGAGTTTACATTTCCGTGCCAATGGTATCTGTTCTCAGCACTGGTCACCGAATGGCAGCACTGTTCAGTATCGAGACACTAAAGCTCACCTTTTAAACATCATGAAGGCCTCATGGACCACTGCAAGAAAGAAGCCTCTCTAAATTCTGCTACTTGCACCTTCTTGAAAGCCAACACAAGTGTGTGCTGAACACCTGCTTTGGCTATAGGTCTCAATCTAAAAAATAAATTCATCTACAAGGATCAAGGCACAGGATAAAATCTGCTTAAACTTCATAGTTACAAGTCTATCTTGTTAGGTTCTACTTCATAAAGGAGGAATAGGGAACATAGCAATTCACACAATTTCATCCTGCTGCTTTGCTTTGGGCAGGGTCAAAACCACACTGCGCTTAATGACTCTGCTGAGGCTGAATGGGGCACAGCCACTTGCACAACACGCACGGGTACCTCGAGCAGCTCTTGCACAGGGAAAGGGGATGCATGCCTCTGACTGATGTACGAAGCTGATTTATGAAACCTACCAAAGAACATAGGTCAACATATCTTACAACTTCCAAGAGTCCTCCTTCACTACGGTGTTTCCCCATCAGGGCTTAGGCATACCACTTTGTATGTTAGATTTGTGCACATTTAATGAAGTTATATGCTATATTTATATGCTTATGTAATTTCTGTATGTTGAATATCCAATAATGTCAAATGGGGTTTCTCCTGAGGAGTACGGGACTTAACAGGAAGGGAAGACTAGATGGACAAAAGTTACGTCTTGAAGGGGAAAAAAACCCAAGAAACAAACCAGGAGTCCCTCGTATACCCAGACCAACCACTTTACACCAAGTGACAGAATAAAAATCTGGTTTTTGAATCTGTTTTTTTTGCGCCTTCAACAAGGAAGGCGCAAGAGAACAGAACCAAAAGCTATTGATATGCAAAAGGTGAGAGCAGAACTGTGGGGGGTGGCTTCATATGGAACAAGAGCAGAGAGCTGCGACTCCAAGGTGATTCTGTACATGTACTCCCCAGAGGCAGGGGTCTTAGCGAACAATGTACGTTCCTTCCGTTGCACTGAAGTAAGTCTGGGCCATCTGTGGTCACTGCAATAACTCATTTTCTGACCAATCACAACGATCACAGAAGCAATTTCAGGTCATATCCAGCAAGGCAGCCTCTGTCAGTCCTTTCCTTCACTACAGCACGATCAGGATGCAGGCACACCCTGAAGACTCACCTATCCTCGCCATGTGCTCTGCTTTCTTCACCTCTTGCTCTGCACGGGTCTTGAAACGGTTTGAAGTGTATTTGTACATCCTGTGATGACGGAAATTTATTAATCAGCAAACTCAGCAGTAATGTCACACCAAGATTTCATCGCTGTATGAGAGAATAAGGTCTCCACACGCTACTCATCTCTTCTCAATAGATTCAATAAATGCAGAAGGATGTTTACATATCAGGAACCGGGCATTTTTGGATGCAGGTAGGCAAAAACTTTTAAAATCAGAGATGCTTCAGTAGTAGCTCCAACCACAATACCCCCTTCTGCATTAGCTAGTGAGGGCAAAATATATCCATAGTCTTGGAAGGAAATCCCAAGGTTTAGAGCAATAACTTCTTCAGAAGCAGAAAGGAGGAGTTAATATATATGGAAAGCTTCTGAAAAACCTCCCATTACAGATAAACAACCCTTCCTTTCTCCTGCAAACCACTGTCCACAGGTGCAGTCTGACAGTGCCCATCTCCATGCAGGGCTAGCTCGAAGCCTGTAAGTGGCACAGCAACTCTCTGAATGGAGCTTCAAGTCTCAGCTCTGAAGTTTCAGAACATTTCTGGAAGCTATACATCTGAGTCACAACCTTGTAAATTGTGCTTGAGTTGTAGTGGCTTGTTTCACCTTCCCTGTACCGCAACATGCAAATGCAGATCACAATCTGACCGACTACCACAGAGCGGAAGAGGCAGGCATGTATAAGGGGCAGAAGCTCGTGAGTATGTGTCACCTCTGAGGAGAGGCATGTAACTGGGGAAGGAGAGATGACACCAAGAAGGATGGTCATGGCCTACAGGAACTCAAACCACCCTAAGACACAAGGTTTTGGACATATCAAGAGGAAAATCCCATCCCAAGTAAATATTCATGAAAAAATAAGCTTCTCCAGCATTTAGCCAAAGCAAAAGCCACTAGAAATAGTGTTTTTACAGAGAGGTGGGAACACATATGGCTTGATTGACCAACTCATTACATAGGAGGAACCACATTTAGATCCTAATGAGAGATAAGATCCTCCCCCCAAATGGCAGCTAATATGTCAGGATCCATGAGAAACCACCTTGCACAGACGAAAAAATTCATTTAGGTATGTTTCTGTGGGCAAGCACACATTGATGTTGACACCGATGTCAGAAATAGTCTCACCAACAGAAACCCCTTGTTCCTAAATCCAGAAAATTCACACCAAAGCACAGGCCCTTTAAATATATTTCTTTATTTACTAAACTCATTTTCTGCTCTTCATAAGGATCTCCTCACTGGGGAGATGAGAGGGCAGGGAAGCTCTACAGAGGGATCTGGACAGGCTGGATGACTGGGCCAAGGTCAATTCCATGAGTTTCAACAAGGCCAAGGGCCAGGTCCTGCACTTCGGCCACAACAACCCCCAGCAGCCCTACAGGCTTGGGAGGAGTGGCTGGAGAGCTGCCCAGCGCGGAGAGGGCCCTGGGGGTGTTGACTGACAGTCGGCTGAACATGAGCCAGCAGTGTGCCCAGGTAGGCAAGAAGGCCAACAGCATCCTGCCCTGCATCAGGAATGGTGGTGTCAGCAGGAGCAGGGAGGTGACTATGCCTCTGTACTCGGCTTTGGTGAGGCCGTACCTCGAGTGCCGTGTCCGGTTTTGGGCCCCTCTCTACAAGAAGGACACTGAGGTGCTGGAGAGGGTACAGAGGCGGGCTACTGACCTAGGAAAGGACTTGGAGCATGTCTCGTATGAGGAGTGGCTGAGGGATCTGGGGCTGTTTAGCCTGGAGAAGAGAAGGCTGAGGAGAGACCTTATCGCTCTCTACAACTACCTGAAAGGAGGCTGTAGCGAGGCGGGGGTCGGTCTATTCTCCCTAGTAACAAGTGATAGAACAAGGGGAAATGGCCTCAAGCTGCACCAGGGGAGGTTCAGGCTGGATATTAGGAAGAATTTCTTTACTGAAAGGGTTGTCAGGCATTGGAGCAGCCTGCCCAGGGAGGGGGGGGAGTCACCATCCCTGGAAGTGTTTAAGAGATGGGGAGATGTTGCCGTTAGGGACGTGGTTTAGTGGTGTTGACAGAGCTAGGACAAAGGTTGGACTCTATGATCTTGAAGGTCTCTTCCAACCCAAACTGTTCCATGACTATGAAAAAGCAGGCAGGTGCTAACCCTTCCAGAAATCATCCAATAACCATGTTAAGAGATGCAGAGCCAGGTTTTTGGTGGCACGATCTCCTCAAACCTACTTAAGGACAATTAAAGCTACCTGGGACCGAGAGAGAGAGAACACATTCTGAAAACCAGACTTCTTTCAACATGTTGGCATAATTAAATTACCTCATCCACATCCCACCTGACTTTCCTGAGGGGAAAGAAGAGGAGAAAAAAAAAAAAAAAAGAGAAGCAGGGTGAAGCCAAATTATCTCACATGCCCAGCTTGTGAGGTGAGGCAGTACCTGCAGGGGACCTTACGGATAGCACGCCCTTTGCAACAGGGTGCAGTGTGAGCAACTGCAGGGTGTCCCAGACAGGCACCGTGAGCCAACACCATGCCCCTGCCCTCATCTTTCCTTTCTTTTCCAACATGTGATGACTTCAGTCACAGCCAGGAACGCCCCTATTCAAGTGATCTGGAACACTTACCTAGCAAAGATGTAAGAAACAGGTCAGGCAGGCAAGTTGTCTGGAGGATGTGGTAGTAAAATACACTCTCCCAGCTTTAAGATGTTCATTGGATATCAACTCTTGGTTACACGGCTGGTGCCGTCGTGAGGGGTTTTGTTTCTATGACAATAGGGCATCCTTCAACATTAACCTATTAGGGAGGGGTGGAGTTCACCTGTCTGGCAGAGGCAAGGGTATCTTTGGTAAAAGGCTGGCCAACTTGGTAAGGAGGGCTTCAAACTGAATGCGTCCAGGGGTGGGGTCCAGGGTGGCAATGCCCCTGCCATTGCATTCGACTGAGGAATAGACCAGGCCAAGTGAAGCAGCAACAAGTGTCTCATAGCTGCCCCTCCAGAAGAAAACCAAAAGGCCAGCTGCCTCAAGGGCATGTATAGCTATGGTAGATCCTCCTCCATCCCTCCAGGGAAACCTGTGTGCTCAATTACCTCCCCAAAACGCCCGTACACCAACTCACACAGCATGGGGAGCAAACAGGAGGAGTTAGAGATCTGTGTGCGGCTGCAGGGCCGTGATCTCATAGCAACAACGGAGACATGGTGGGACAGCTCACATGACGGGAATATTGTCATAGATGGCTATTGTGATATAGGTCTACATGCTCTTCAGGAAAGACAGGCCAGCCAGGCGAGGTGGGGGAGTTGCCCTCTGTGAAAAAGGATCTGGAATGTATTGAGCTTTGCCTAGGGGGTGGAACAACTCAAGAGCTTATGTGTGAGACTTCAGGGGCAGGCTAATATGGGTGACACTATTGTGGGTGTTTACTACAGGCCACCTGACCAGGCGAAGGAAGTCAATGAGGCCTTCTACAGCCAGCTGAAAGTAGCCTCACAATCACAGGCTCTGGGTCTCATGGGGGACTTCAACTACCCCAACATTTGCTGGAAAAGCAACACAGCCAAGCAGCCACAGTCCAAGAGGTTCCTACAGAGCACTGACAATAACTTTCTGACACAGGTGGTAGAGGAACCAATGAGGAGAGGGGCACTGCTCATCCTCGTACTGACAAAGAAGGACTGGTTGGAGATGTGAAGGTTGAGGGCACCCTTGGCTGCAGTGACCATGAGATGGTGGAGTTCAGGGTCCTGCGTGGAAGAAGCAGGGCAATAAGTAGGATTGCACCCCTGGACTTAGAGAGCCAACTTCAGCCTCCTCAAAAACCTACCTGGAGGAATCCTATGGGCTGGGGTTCTAGAAGGAAGAGGGGCCCAAGAGAGCCGGTTGCTATTCAAGCAGCACTTCCTCCAAGCTCAAGATGGGTGCATTCCTATGAGGAAGAAGTGGAGCAAAGGAGGCAGGAGGCCTGCTTGGATGAGCAAGGAGCTTCTGGAAAAACTCAGAGCGAAGAAAGAAATTTACAACAGGTGGAAAGAGGGGCTAGTCACTTGGGAGGGAAATAGAAACACTGCCAGAGAATGCAGGGATGCAACCAGGAAAGCTAAGGCCCACTTGGAATTAAATCTAGCCAAGGATGTCAAAAACAACAAGATGGGCTTCTTCAAATACATCGGTAGTAAAAGAAAGACCAGTGAAACTGTGGGCCCACTGCTGAATGAGGCGGGTACCCTGGTGACAGAGGATATGGAGGAGGCAGAGCTGTTGAATGCTGCCTTTGCCTCAGTCTTTACTACTAAAGCTGTCCCTCAGGAATCTCTGCCTCTGGCAGTAGGGGAAGGAAGACTACCCCTCGTTTGAGAAGGATTGGGTTAGAGATCATTTAGGTAAACTAGACACCCACAAATCTATGGGCCCTGATGGGGTGCACCCACAAGTGCTGAGGGAGCTGGCAGATGCCATTGCAAAGCTGCTCTCCATTGTCTTTGAAAGGTTGTGGAGGACAGGAGAGGTGCCCGAGGACTGGAGGACAGCCAATGTAACTCCAGTCTTCAAGAAGGAGGACCCGGCCAGTCATCCTCACCTCCATTCCTGGGAAGGTGATGGAACAGCTCATTCTAGATGTCATCTCCAAGCACACGGAGGAAAAGAAGATTATCAGGAGTAGTCAGCATGGATTCACTAAGGGGAAATCAAGCTTGACCAACCTGATCGCCTTCTACGATAAAACGACTGGCTGGGTGGATGACGGGAGGGCAGCGGATGTGGTCTACCTTGACCTTA